GGACAGCTACATCTCATCCGGTGGACGCATCATGGATAAAGTGTCAGCTCGCATACAGAAGGCTCGCTTGGTAGTTGCCAACTTGAGACATCTGTGGCGCCGTCGTGACATCCGGCTGACTGTTAAGGGTCGAGTGTATGCCGCTGCAGTTCGACCATTTCCGCTATACATCACAGAAACTTGGCTATTAAGAAAACGGGAGATAGCCTGCAAGTGTTCGAACATCGCTGTCTACGCAGCATTGCATGAACCTGAAAGGGCAACCGGACAAGCAATGTTGAGGTTAGAGGCAGAGCTTTTGGTAATCGCAGTCGCCCACTGAAGCAAGTGATCGACCTCCATAAATTACGTTGGTTGAGGCATGTGTTACGGACGTCACCGCGGTGCGTGATGTTTGCTGAGGCAAGAAAATGGTTAATGGTGATCAAACTAAGACCTGGCATGATGGCATTAAAACCCTGACCAGTAAACTTGTAACGTATACCGCGTTGGGCTATTTGGACAGGGACCTTGGATCATTGTAGTCCATGATTAGAGACACTAACTGGTATGACTGGATGTCGTGAAAAGTATCCCTCGTGCGCCCACTCAATGTCCTTGCAGCCTTAGTCTACACGAATTCTTCAACTCAACTCTGACACTAATTTGAATAATCAAAGCTTTCCTTAACTTTTTCATCTAAATAAGCAGTTGCGAGACAACAATCGCAACCGGTGCTGAATGTGAATACATTGTAGCCCAGTACACTGCGATACTCCACAAGCCATCGTGGTTTGGTTCACCGTTTATCTTATTCCAGTCTCATGCATTGCTTACAACTCTTTCGCATCGAACACCTTGAAGGATTGGAAGATCAAGTATGGAGTATTTTGTGCGACTACTGCACGCTGGTTTGGCTTTAGGTTGATCCATCCCCGCCATAACTTCGCAGAGTCTACTTAAAAGTCACACTCGCTCATGTAGATGAGATTTTAAAGAGGTTGACTGCATAACCTAATTAGGTGAGAAACCGGAGCGTTCGTCATCTGAAAACCAAAACTAAACAATCAAAGAAAGAGAAAACATACTGGAAACCAAATCATATGTGCAATATTGAAATATGAAATTCATCTTTTTACATTCTTATGTACAGATAAACACTGTGCCGACCCGACAGAAATCAGTCATTGAAAACAATATGCTTCGCTGGCGATGAGGATATGGAAACCGAGGTCAGTTTTCCCTTAACCTTAAGTTCTCGTTTAGCTTGCCAAGACGGATGGAGTACTTTGTTCACGTTAACGCTGGGACGAGAGGATACGCCCGGACTAAACTTGGTTGAACGTGTACGGGCTGAC